AAACACTCTCCCAAGCCGGGTGGTCGCCGTGGGAGAAAAAGACCAAAACCCTCTAAAGAGTACCTAATATACTGGTGTGTAAATGAACGTTGATATTAATAGAAGGCATGATAGGCGAGTCTAACCTAGCCTCAATTTTTTTCTAAACTTACTTTGTAATAAGCGACTATATTTAATATCAATAATAGGCATTAAAAATGATGCCTATTATTTATAGCCTGGTCAGTTTAAGAGCCTTAAGTAAAAATTTTATTTCCAAGAAGTTGTTTAGAAAAAGATTAAGGTTAAGGACCTTCCGCAGGGAAAATTATAAGATGATGTTCATTAATATGGTACATACTTTTCTTTCATTTTGTGGTTCTATTTCAAAGTATTTAATTCGGTAAAAATGTTAACGTTTACAAGTTACAATTAAATATTCCGGTTCGCTTAATCTTCATTTAATTAATGCAAAGTTTCATATTAAATTGAAAATATAATGCACAGTTTCTCAAAGCCGGTTCAAAGTAAAACTTTGTAGAACTGTGTTCCAGATAAAACAACGATCCTAAAGTCGATTTAAGTTTAATTTCTTGCTGAACGAGCGGTTGATTTCATTCTGGCCTCTTGAAAATAACTTAATTATTCATACTTAAGCAACCGCTTCACTGTTTTGCATTTATAACTTATGTAAAAATAATACTGTATTACTGTGTCACTGTCACTCTCAAGTCGGACTGAAGTTGTTCAAACAAACAGGATTATATAACAAGTAAGTTATTGGTGCTGTTATAACATCCACTTAAGTACATAACTATAGTTATTGGTTAGCCATGATTTAAACCATAGATAATCTTTTTTTGTTCATAAAATTGTCTCTTTTTCAGTCTTCTGGAACTTTCTACGAAGACTCATCACAGTTGCTACGTCAAACTAGTTATATCAAGTTTGGATTACACATTGGACTCTAGTCCTCGGGATGTTTTGGCTAAAACTTTAACTTGCACCATTCAAGCGTCCCGATTATATGCTACGCAATTTCTGAACGTACTTCTACGAGCTTCTAGAAGCTCCCGCGAACTTGTAAGGAAGAAATCTAAATTAAAGAAGAATTATACCCAAGATCAATGGAAACATATTTATAGAGATGATGGTGATAATAATGGGGTTGATATGGACACTTGGGTATTACAAATGTTGGTTGGACAAGTTAAAGATGAATCTAAGAAGGTTGTCAAATGCGCTTTATCTATATTAGAAGAAGCATATAGTGTACCGGTGAGTCCATTATTTTGTGATTTTTCTCCACTTCTGTGCTACAAGATCCGGCTATTGTAAATATTCACAGTAAAATATATGAAACATTTGCGTAATAGGTTAATTAATCAAATTTAATAAAATGTATGTTGACTTTAGTGCTGAATGTGCTCTTTTCCAGGCTTTCTTGGAGAAACTGATGACAATGAAAGACACTCTCGGTCAGAACTGCAGATTGGATAA